AAGAAAGAAAGAAAGAAAGAAAGAAAGAAAGAAAGAAAGAAAGAAAGAAAGAAAGAAAGAAAGAAAGAAAGAAAGAAAGAAAGAAAGAAAGAAAGCATTCCAGAAATAGGGAATTTAGGTGCAAAGATCTCAGACCAAAAAACAAACAAACTGAACGTGCTTATAGAGGAACAACAAATAGAAATGCAGATTTGGAGCTGGGTGGATTGGTTAGACATGGGAAAAACAGAAACACTGGATCTCTATCTCACACGCTACACAAAATCAATTACAACTAGACTGATTCGCTCATTTGAATGTTCCACAGAAGATACATAAGAAGGACAAATCCATCGGCAGAACAACCTCGTGAAGGTACAGTAGGGGTTTTCTGATTTCTCCCACAAAACATGAGAATAGAAACCAAACTAATAACAAGTTAGTAACACTGATGTCTAAGCAAAATTCCCAACACCTCTGAAAGCCAACGCCCATCCTCCTCCCACCCAACCCTCCACCATTACTAAGACCAGAGGTGAAGCTCAAAATCTCATCCTAAGTGCTAGAGGCCTGATCGCCTTCTTGGGACACAAAAGTGTCCTTACGGAGTCTCCCATTTTCCCGCAGGTTTCTCGGGAGCTGCTCTTTTTACAGCTACAGCATACGGATCTTACTACGCTTTGGCGGTGAGCCTCTTAAGCCACTAAGAGAAGATGAAGGTAGAGGCAGGATCTAAATTTGGAGAAGTGGGCATTTTTACTGGACTGCTCCAGGAAATTAAGTTGTGTAAACAGAAAAAACTCGAAATTCTAGACTTCTTTGGCGGAAACAGTCCGGTCATGGATATGAAGAAAGTGCACATCCACGGCAGCCTCCTTGCTGGCCAACGTCACGCCTGCACGCCTCATCGATGACTCCGAGGGGCATCCTACCATTATCCACTAACAGAGGCGAAAAGCGGGGTTCGGGAAAGCTACAAATCTCATCCAGGAAACTAGGCACACAAGGTGAGGCTCCAGTGAAATTCTCCAGTGTCCGATGAGCCGGAGCAAACTGGAGGCGCACGCCACTCCCCGGGGCCCCGCCCCTCCGGGCCCCCGACCCTCACCTAGAGCAGGAGGCACTGACCTTAAGGGCGGAGGGTCAGGCGGAACGGGGCTGGACAGATGGATCGAACGCCTCCCAGCCCGCCCGCGGTCAGCGGCCAGGCAGCAGGTACCGAGACTTCCTAGGAACCTTTAGGACTTGGAGTTCGGGCAGCTTCCGCCCGCCAAGGGAATCAAACCTCCCGGGCAGGAAGGGGCGGGGCGAAGCGGGGGCGCGCGGAGGAAACTTGGATGGGACGATCGCGGTGGCGCGCGGGACCGCCGTGAGGAGACGGGCGAGCGCGCGCGCGCGCGCGTCCCTGCCGACGAGTGAGCCGGGCGGTCAGGCGGCCCTTAGGTAGGCCGAAAGCTGACGGAAGATTTTCAAACCCGA